GACTTAAAAGTTCACTAAAACACCAAGTTATAAAGCTGAACATAAAAGCATTAACAATTTTATGTGATAAAAGCCCTGTAACAAAGCTGATGCTGTTATGATCTTGGTGCTGATGATTGGATCGATTGTTCATTTCATTCACCTGCCAAGCTCTGCCCATTTCTTATTACCCTTCATGTGATCCACCTGCTCCAGCCTATATCTAACCAGCCCTCTAACCAGTCATCAGTGCCAGATTATTCTCGAGCCTTTGGTGAGAATTCTCTAGCATACCTGTTTGTGTTCTGATTGCTAAACCCTGACCCATTCTTCCTTTAGACCTCTGAGCCTGCCTGTTCCAATACGGATCTGTTTGCCTGATCTGTCTTCGGACTCCTGCTGGATTTTGCCTGTTCACCGAACCTGGATCTGCTTTCTGACACGGAGACCTTCGAATCTCTGATCTTCTGGCCTGAACTCCAGTGAACCTCTTTGACACTGGCTCTGGCTTCATCCCCTGGATTGTCCTGCCTTCCTTTAATCTGCTTTGAGCTGATCTCCTCTGATCCTTGACAGATGCTGTTGCTGTTGTGATCCACTGGTCAGGCCGTGGATTTGGGGTTTTAGAATATTTAATGTTTTGTGTTCATGTGCTTCTACAACACCGTGTTACAGTCTTGCTAACAAAGACATTTGTATTGTGAATTGTTTAATGCAAATCTAAATGCTTTCAGGTGAATATCCCTTTAAAAAAAGTGTAACCACTGCAATAACAATACGTTCATTGTGTATCCCTCAGAGAAATCCATTCTTTTACACAAAATTAATATCATGGCTAGGACCATGAAAAAGAGAACTCATTTTGCTGAATGTACACAGTAAATTCCATGTAGATGAAATTTAATAGATAGTACTCTAATGTAAGGAACAAGGCGTTGCCTTTGCAACAAGCAGCTGACAAAAACCCTGACAAGAGTGACCAACAGAACAGTTGCAAAGCCATGTTTGTTTTAATATTACAGACCACAGTTTTTAGTAAGTAGATTAAAGTTAAACTGTTACTGATGTGCATATTTGGTGTAAATTCTACCTAGTAGCATTACCACCCATTGACAAATGCTGGCCTAAATGGTCATCTACAACGCCCAGCAACAACAACTCCTCTTGTTGGCTTCAATCTATTTTCCTCTGGCTTCTGATTGCAGCTGGTAGCTTCTCACATTTCAGGCTGCTTCTGAAAGCAGAAGGAATGATGCTCTGATCTGCCTGCAGATCGTTTCCAAGTCCAACTCTTTGTTGCCGTGACTATTTACCCTTTAACGCTCCTCTATTCTCCCAGAAATCTATCACATTAAAAAGCTGACCTGTTAGCCCAGATAATTGTGAAAAGGTGATTTAGAGACCTCTTTAGGGTTAGGTTCGGATTGGGTTCGAATTGAGTTCGGATTGGGACATAAATGCAGTTACTCAAATAAAACTGGAGGTAACGCAAGTTCTATTATAGGTGGAAATATAAAGCTGTGTTTGTACTCTTGTATACTTTTCTGAAATAAAAAAATAGATGTCATCTATAAAAACAAGATTTAATCTGCAGCTCATTTACATAAATCACCCAGCAGCTCTCACATCTTAGACACTTCATCACATCATCGATCTGTGGTGAGAAAACTCTAGGCCGACTGCCTGTGTTGTAATCTAATCCTCTCTGTGTGCATTTTAGAGCACGAACTGCAGGTAATGTCGCTACTGTTTGTGGCAACTACGTTCCAGCATGAAGCCGAAGGTCAGTTACGTTTTACTCAGTGTGCCTTTGACCTTCTGATATATATGTATGTATATATACACTCACCGGCCACTTTATTAGGTACACCTGTCCAACTGCTCGTTAACACTTAATTTCTAAGCAGCCAATCACATGGCGGCGACTCAGTGCATTTAGGCATGTAGACATGGTCAAGACAATCTCCTGCAGTTCAAACCGAGCATCAGTATCGGGAAGAAAGGTGATTTGAGTGACTTTGAACGTGGCATGATTGTTGGTGCCAGAAGGGCTGGTCTGAGTATTTCAGAAACTGCTGATCTACTGGGATTTTCACACACAACCATCTCTATGGTTTACAGAGAATTGTCCGAAAAAGAAAAAACATCCAGTGAGTGGCAGTTCTGTGGGTGGAAATGCCTTGTTGATGCCAGAGGTCAGAGGAGAATGGGCAGACTGGTTCGAGCTGATAGAAGGGCAACAGTGACTCAAATAACCACCCGTTGCAACCAAGGTGGGCAGAAGAGCATCTCTGAACGCACAGTACGTCGAACTTTGAGGCAGATGGGCTACAGCAGCAGAAGACCACACCGGGTGCCACTCCTTTCAGCTAAGAACAGGAAACTGAGGCTACAATTTGCACAAGCTCATTGAAATTGGACAATAGAAGATTGGAAAAACGTTGCCTGGTCTGATGAGTCTCGATTTCTGCTGCGACATTCGGATGGTAGGGTCAGAATTTGGCGTCTACAACATGAAAGCATGGATCCATCCTGCCTTGTATCAACGGTTCAGGCTGGTGGTGGTGGTGTCATGGTGTGGGGAATATTTTCTTGGCACTCTTTGGGCCCTTTGGTACCAATTGAGCATCGTTGCACCGCCACAGCCTACCTGAGTATTGTTGCTGACCATGTCCATCCCTTTATGACCACAATGTACCCAACTTCTGATGGCTACTTTCAGCAGGATAATGTGCCATGTCATAAAGCTGGAATCATCTCAGACTGGTTTCTTGAACATGACAATGAGTTCACTGTACTCAAATGGCCTCCACAGTCACCAGATCTCAATCCAATAGAGCATCTTTGGGATGTGGTGGAACGGGAGATTCGCATCATGGATGTGCAGCCGACAAATCTGCGGCAACTGTGTGATGCCATCATGTCAATATGGACCAAACTCCCTGAGGAATGCTTCCAGCACCTTGTTGAATCTATGCCACGAAGAATTGAGGCAGTTCTGAAGGCAAAAAGGGGTCCAACCCGTTACTAGCATGGGGTACCTAATAAAGTGGCCGGTGAGTGTATATACTGTATATATAAACAGTTCGGTACTGAGTTCACCTGAGGACTCATTTTAGTTGTGGAAGTTCCAGGAGCTGGTGGCATAGGTGGGTATGGAGGCAGGTAGGTGGCAAACGGTGGGTGGGCTTCTAACAAGCAACTGAGGAGTTTTAAAGAAGTCTCTTTTGGTACTTTTAGGTGATACACACACATTACTGGTATATGAATGGTACATGGTGACCTCATGTGAGTCCTTGGTAAAATCATGCATAGCTACTCTGTCAGGAATCAATCTGCATCCTGTGGAGGCAACTTTTGCCTACTTTTCTTTTTTATTGATGAATTATGAGTTCTGATCTTAACTGAGGCACTGGGGTCTGCATATTTTCAAATGTTGTTCTAGGTTCATCTGTGGCATCCCTGAGAAGTTTTTCCTGAGCTTTTGGAGGGACTTTGATTTTGCTGGACTCTTATCTACTATTCTGTTTTCTTCATTTCTGGAAAATGATTCTCACAGAGATTTTCTATAGTCCCAAATTTAAAAAAAATTAGATTTTCACCCTTTTCAAACTGGTAAATGTTATAATTTATTTACATCTACATGTCATACCCAAGGAGGCAGAGTTCTGGGCTTTGCATGTGTTTATTATGCTATACGACCTAAAACTGGTGTGTTATTTAGGATAATAAATGGATTGGAGGTGGACATTTTGAAGGCAGACTAACAGGTCTTTGAGGGTCAGAATTTTAGCTGTTCAAAATCTTATTTGCAGCTGTATCAAACAAGTAAATAGTTAATAAGTCATATATTGTGATTTCTGCATGTTTTATAGATTATGTCTGTCACAGTGGATGTGCACCTACTGTACGATGAGAGTTTCAGAACCCTCCATGATTTCTAAGTGGGAGAACATGCAAAATAGCAGGGTGTTCAAATACTAATTTTCCTCACTGTATTTAACAGGAGGTGTAGGTCCCCTTTGAGTGATTTCTTAAGTCTCAATTCATTTCCTCTTGTTTAAAAGTGTTTGTCAACTCCTTTTAAGATTTTTCATAATGTTGGAAACATGTCAAACTATAAGCCCCTAAAAAGGTGTGCACCAGAGCAAGCATTCAGAAAAGTGTCTTCCTGAGAAAGGCACACACATAATGCATGGTAATATGTGGAATTATTTATGATATCACCTGTGTGTTACATGTGCTTGAAAAGATCTCAGCTCTGGATGAAAGATATGCTAAAACCAAGAAAATGTGTAAAGCTAGAGACCCTCTCTATGAATCACAATTACAGTCCTAAGCAGCTGAACTAAAGGATAAAATACATTCCTGAAGAGAAAGAGGAGCAGTTAGAACTGCGTCTAAACTCTGATCGACTCCAGCAGATGGACTCTGGAGGATTTAATGTCTGCTGATCGACTGTTTCCAGCCTGCTCGGTCAGCAGGAGTCTGAAATGTTGCACAGGGCTTAAGTAATTGGTTCTGCTCAAAGCTCTGACTGATTGACCCTCTGCTCTGTTCTCCACTCAGGCCCTCCTGCTGCAGATATTGGGTTACCAGAGATGGTGCCAAACTGGGGAACCTTCTGATATTCCCATTTAGATATTAAAGTGCCAGGTGTCATAATAAAAAAGGGAAGAGATGAGGCTTGGGGTTGTGAGCTGTGTAGCTTCTTGACACTAAATCAATCCCTTTTTATTCATCCCTCTTTTTTTTCCTCAGTTTCTTTATTTTCTCTGCATCATCTTTTTTAATCTATCTTTCCCGTTTTCCTCTCTTCTTTCCATCATTATTCCCTTTAATTTATTCCCTCTCTTTAATTTCCTCCTTTTCCACTCCTTCTGACCTCCATCTCCTCCTAATCTCCCCCTTTCCTCTCCCTCCCATTCTCACGTCCCAACAGGGCATCCATCCACGCCCCCGTGGCCAGCGGCTCTCCTCCTCACCCCGCCCGCCTGCTCCCTCTGAGTGTGTGAGTGAGTGTTTGCTGCTGGGAGCCAGTCGAGCAGCGGAGGACACTTTCTCCTCTTCCTGTTCTTCACTCCATCATGCTCTCTGCTTCGGCTGCGCTCTGGCTCTAAAACAAAACGGTAAGGGACTTCTCCTTTTTGCGCATTTTGGCGCATTTTTGCTCTCTATGTGCGCGTTTTGGATGTATGCGCTTGGCTCCATGCGGGCATTTCTGACAACCGATTCTCACGCATTTGAAGCTGCTCTATGTGAGGAAACATGCATCCTAGGGAGATTTCCCTCAACATTTAAAGCCTGTAAATATCCGTGTTTATATGATCGATCGCGCATCAGGATCCGTGGTTGTTTGTAGAAAAGGCTGAGATTGGAGACGCTCTGCGCATCAACCCTTGTCCCGCTTTTCTCACCAACTTTAAGGAGCTTGAGTGAAATGTTTAGAGGGAACTGATGGTTTTTTTTAATGATCTGTACACTTTAAGAAGACAGAATAACTGGAGCAGTTTAATGAGCGCTCTGATCCCAGAGGGAGAGCGCTGTCCTATAGGATCAAAACAAACTCTGCTTTCAGTCCGGGCTGCTCTCAGAAATAGGAGACTCCATCCTCTCACGCGTATGAAAAGCTTTATTTTAATTATACTTATTATGGTTTATTTTGTTGAAGCTGCTTCCAGATTGTAGTAATTCTCAAATTTACTGATGCGCATCTTAGAAAAGAAGGAATCGGGAGAGAAAACAGGAAAAAACATTCGCTTTGATTGATATAAAAGATAGATCCTCCCATTTATTTGCTAATTTAGTGCGTAAAAATCCAAATTTTCTTTCATTCAGAGGTTTTAAACGCTCTTGTTCTATTTACTCCCCCCCGCTTCTCATGGAAACACCACCGCCTTGTTTCCAGAGCTGCAGGGACTTCCCTACTTGCAGGATAAAACGATCATAAAACTGCAACATTTCTCCATCATCTTCAGTATTCATAGATTTTTTCTTCTGGTTTGACAAATAAACGCACCTCAAGAAGGTAGCTTCCCTTAAGCGTTGTCTGTTGCATCAAACTCATCTCCTGTACATTAAACATGTGATTTAGCTGCAGGTCAGAGAAGCAGTTTGTGGTGCATGATCTGTTGTGCAAGCTTGGTGCAGGTCTACAGGCTACAGAGGGAAGCCGCCTGCATGAAGTGTGACTGTAGTTTCAATGAGGACTGTGACTGCAGCATGCAGAAGAGGGGATCCTCCTGTTTGCAGAAAGCTGCAGCGGGGCTTCCCTGGGCTTTTCCTCTCAGAGTCTTTTTAGGGGGTTCCCTTCTTTTCCTGCTCTCACCTTCACCCCCCAGCCGGAGATTTAACAGTGATGGTGCAACCATATGTGTGTCAGTAATCAGACTTAGGTCTCTTTGCTCTGATGGGATGTTTTAGGAGAAATGATGGATGTTCCATCTGCATACAGCCTCCATGCTGTTAGTTTCTTTGTCCATAACACAATGACCAGAAGATGTACTTTCAGATTGATGTTTGCCTCCAAAGCATATTTATTGTTTTATGAGCCATATCCAATTACTGCTCTACTTTTATATATTGTCTATTGGATTATTCATCGCCGCCCCCGCCTCCCTCTCCACTGACTCTCCTCCATTATCTCCATCCTTTGCATCTGTTCTTGCATCTCTCTGCTGTGAAACAGTAAGTCCCCCTCTTTTCTGCTTCCATCAACCTTTGTTTACCTTCAGGGTTTATGTGTAGCTCTTCATCAACTGCTCTTTCTTCACACTCCTAAATTTAAATATGCCACTTGGGGAAAGCTCAAGCAAAGCTGCATCCAATTTAAGTTTGCCGTCTTGTAGCTGTGAGAGCAAGGATTGGTTATACAACACATATAGTCTCTAAGCAATAATTAATATCTTGTGTTTGACATGCAAATGCAGATTCACTATACTGCCTTCTACACATAATGCATTCAGTGTTTCTCCAAGTTTATCTTCAGTTTAATAAAAATCTAACAGGGCGGTAGTGGGAAACTAGAGCTTTTATGTTCTGCTAGAATAATTCTTAGCTTTTGTTGGGGTTTTATTTGACATAGCTGCAAAACAGGTAAAACTTAAGCAGAGGTGAGTGCCAAAAAGAGCAGAGTATCCAAAACAATTTAATGCAATAAGAGTAGGGGTGGGTATTGCCAAAGAAGTCAAGATTCGATTCGAATCACGATTCACATGCCACGATGCGGTTCTCTCACGATGCGTCGCAATACTTGAAATATTGCGATGCATCGCGATGCATCGCGATATTTTCACTGAACACTGGTAGAAAAAAAATACAGCCATTACCAATCGCTGACTGGCTGTGTATGATCTGGATAGGGTCTTCAATTGATACATAACTAAAGCAACTGAATTCATATATAGCTGTATTTATTAAAAACAAACTTTGGATGTATTGCCATGAAAACAAATACCGGACACAAATATTACTATTACTGGAGTGGACACACTGACAAAAAGTGCTTAGGATTTATAAAACTTCAAATAACAAAATAAGGATAATCAGTGTCGTTTACATGGCCTCAGCTGTCCTTTAAACCATCCATCCATTATCTGACACGCTTATCCCAATTGGGGTTGCGAGGGGTGCTGGTGCCTATCTCCAGCTGTCAATGGGCGAGAGGCAGGGTACACCCTGGATAGGTCGCCAGTCCATCACAGCGCAACACAGAGACAAACAGGACAAAAAACTATTCACTTACACCCAAAGAGGATTTAGAGAAGCCAAATAACCTAACAGTCATGTTTTTGGACTGTGGGAGGAAGCCGGAGTACCCGGAGAGAACCCCATGCATGCTCAGGGAGAACATGCAAACTCCATGCAGAAAGACCCCGGGCTGGGAAACAAACTCAGAACCTTCTTGCTGCAAGGCGGCAGTGCTACCCACTGGAGGAGCGTCCTTTAAACCAATGAAATGAAAACATTCAAATGTATGACATTTCCCCTTTTGCGAATTACGTGCGTCATATCAATTTTGTTTTTTCCCTTCTTTGTTTTTAAAGCCAAAATGCATCCAAACATCTGACCTCAAAAACTGATGGAGCCGGGCAAATTTTCTCAGTCTCCTCTGGCCTGAAATGCTGGTGAAACAAGGCAGCGGGCATCAACACATCTGCAGCGACATCTACTGGACTGGAAGTTGTATTCCACTTGTTTTTGGCTGATGTGCGCCAACCATTCATGTATTTTATTTATAATTTTTTTTTTAAATTAAGAATCGATACTTGGCGTCAAGAATCAATGCAGTAGATCACAAAATGTAGGAATCATGATGCATCGTCATGACGATAATTTTGCACGCCCCTAAATAACAGTAACATAATTTTCAGTCAAATAAAATGGAAAGTAGACATTCAAGAGTTTATTCAAGTAAGAATGAAAAGGACTGGGTATAATGGCTACTGTAGTACTGAGTAATTGTTGGCTTATGACTGATTTAATGTTTAAAATGATGTAATCAGACGGAGTAGCATTCTAATTCAGGTGTTTCTAAGTAATAAGATAAAGTAAAAATACAAATAAAAACACTTTCACGAATCAAGGTTTTCATCATAAACTTAAAATGTAATTTTAAATACGGTAGTTTTTATATCAAGAGATGTATTTTTATGTATTAACATATATCTTTTTAAATTGTTAAATATAATTGTTTCTATGGAGATTGGCGCTTATTTAGTCTCTTAAAGCTTTTTTTTTTGGCAATTTTCCAAGTTTTTGGCAAATTTTCACACAGTTTTTTATCATTATACTTTTTTTTGTTGTGAAAATAAAAAAAATAAAATAGAAAATGGATGAGGAGACAAACAGGTTAATGTTAATTTATGCTTTATGGTTTGCAAAAGGATCCAGTTGTCAGCAACAGAAGGTTAAAATCTCACAGCACATGCACGGACAACAGGCATGGAAACAGAAGGAACCAATGAGGAGAGATGAAAAGCAGGGAGTTTATATACACAAGGGAGAGCAGGTGAGAGTAATCCGATGGAAATGAGAAGCAGCTGACAGCCATGAGGGCAGAGAGCTGAGGGAGAAACCAAAATGATCAAATAACTCCTGTTCCTTTCTCGTTTATGAGGTTAACACATAAATGATGCTGGTTAGATCCAGGCCTACAGCCTTCCCAGAAGAGCCACAAAAACACAGAAATATAGCAAACGGCTGAAGCTCTTCATCACAGAACCCAAAGCATTTGAAGATGTTTCCATATGCATGTGTTACACACAGTAAAGAAATTATGCTTTTTTTGTTAATTTCTGAGTTGAGATGTGCCGTTAAGTTATGTCACTCAAAGGATTGTGTGATTCTATAGTTCCTCAGTGCCGGTGCAGGGACTTATGAGCTCCCTATGTTAAAGGAACTATGAAAGGAAACATGCCGGCTCCTTTTCCTGCCTCCTTCCTTACTACCGGCTGTATTCAGACAACCCTTATCATGGCAAACCAGTTTGGCTAGGAATCATTACCAATTACAGCATTTCCGATGTGACAGAGACAGAAAGGAACACAGGAGGGGATGTAACAGAAATCTAAATGTACGTACATAAACACAAGAGACCTACAATAACGTAAACAAAGGAATGAATACAACACTATTGTAGGCATAATGAACACAGAGGAAAACTAAATAAGGTAAGGCCTAAAAATACGTTATTACAACATTACAATAGCGGATTGTGACACCTGCTAGCTGCAGGAAGCAGGGTTTTGTCGACTGTTGTTCACAGCTTACACCTTCATATGTCACTATATCATTTTTTACAGGAGCTGGACGTAAGCAGATATATCTAACCTGAGAATTTTTGTTTATCCCGAGTGGGGATTTGCATAATTTATGGCACATCAAGCACATCAAAATACCCTGATAAAAAAAAGCGAACAAAAAAACATATACTGTATATATATATAGTTTTTTCTTCTGCTCACTGTTTTGTTTTTCTGCTCATCTCTTGTCTTGATTGTTCTTCTGGGACATTTGTGTTGTGTTCCTTCCTGTTTCTACTGTAGAGCCCCATCTCTGCAGTGTAATTACAGAAGCAACATGGATGAATGTCTTTCTAGAAGAAGAAGGGAAGCTTGATCCTAAACTG